CGGTGGTCCACGTGGGCCGGCCCTCTCCCCGCCCCGCACTCGTGCTCGGTCAGCGCGCCCCCGCCGCTCGGCTCCCGGCGCCTCTCTTGAGCGCCGCGCTGTGGCCACCGCTCCGCAGGTGCTGGGGAAAGGTATCCTTTCTGAATACCTGAGAGCCACGTTGAGCCCCGCATGGAGGAGAGGAACTTGGGGTTTACTCTCAATCGAAAACAATCCCCACCCACAGCGAATCCGTCCGAGGACCCAAAGCAGTTTGCAAACAGGCTTTCTTAGCCGCCCTGAGCGTAGCAGACGCATAACTAATCCAGCTTCTTATGTAACTTGCTTACATGGGAGAGGAGGAAAATCCGTACGTATGTCAATAACTGAATACTTTCTTATTTTAAAAATTATAAAAGTACTGCCTAAACTTCTTTGACTTGCACCTCATGCCAAACCCTCTTCGCCTCTCCCTCCCCCAAGTGAAGTAACACTAATAATCGTGACACTTAAATAGTATTCATTTTACAGAGAATACCTCATGTGATCTCCTATAGATAAGAAAACTGAGGCACAGAGAGGTTAAATAATTTACTGAAGATTACAATTAATCGGTGGTAACTGGGTGTAATTTGAACCCAGAAGTTTGGTTGCAGAATCCATGCTCTTTGATATTCAAAGTGTAGTCTGGAAGAGGCTTCCCCTGAGAACTTGTTAGGAATGCAGACTTGCAGAACCCACCAGGGAATCGGAATCTCATTTTAACAAGATCCCCAGGTGGTTAGTATATGCATAAAGTTAAAGACGCATTGCTCTATACCACTATGCTGTTCACTGTCATTGGCTTGTCTTATAATCTTCTGGTCCTTTTACTCTGCATTGATATAAAATTATGCATCATCCCGCCAGTTGCACTCCAAAGTATATTTGCCCTTCTCTGAACCTACTGCTTGAACTAATCTTTGGCAGGTCTCCTGTCTCTGTTCCCCACATCTTTGTTCTATATGCACTTACCCCATACCATATTATTTTGTGTATCATTTAACATTTTCAATCCTTTGCTCTTTTATTATCAAAATTGGGGCTCTGCAGCCAAAGACAGTTGTGTTCCCAAGTTGTCACCAGTCTAAGAGAGAATCAAGCATCAGAGACAGAGGCTTGATCTTTGAGATGTCCCTCAGTACTGAGATTCTATGAAGGACAGGGCAGATCCAAGGAAAACCTGAAACTACATGCAAGGAGATGCCAGAGCTCTCTCCTGACGCCATTCATTCGTTCACTGAATGAAATTGAGGGCCTCCTCTGTGTCAGGCACTGTAACAGGTGCTGGTATATACAGAAGTAAAACAGTAAAAATTCCTTCTCCCGTGGACCTTAACTTCCAGTGAGGAGAGACAGGCAATAAGTGAAGTACAGAGTAGGGTAGAAGGTGTTACAGAGAGAAAGAAAGTGCAGAAAGGGACATGAGAGCTGGGAGGCTGTGATTTTAAACGTAGCAGTCAGGCAGTTCTCACCAAGAAGGTAACAGTTCAACAAAGACTTGCAAGAGCTAAGGGAGCAAGTTATTTAGAAGAACTCCACGTGTGTTCACTCACCAAATGTTTATTGATTCTACGCTATGGTTCTGGCATGGGTCTGTGCGTTTACTTAAACCCTGCTGTTTTTCATGTCTCCAAGTTTCCCTGGACTGAAGTTTTCTTGTCCTGGTGGGGGAAAAAAAATGTAAGCAATTTTGTGTGGCTCAACCTAATACCATATTCTCCCATCCTGGATGTTCAGTATTTCTAGGGGTTTCATTGTGTCCCTGAAATTCATATGTTGACATCCTAGCCTCCAATACCTTGGAATGTGACCTTATTTGTAGATAGAGTCTTTACAGAGATAATCAAGTTAAAATGGAGTCCTTACAGTAAGCCCTAATCCAACGTGACTAGTGTCCTTATAAAAAGGGGAAATTTGGAGACAGACATACAGGGAGAACACCCTGTGAAGATGAAGGCAGAAATCGAGGTGATGCTTCTATAAGGCAAGGAATGCCGAAGATTGCAGACAAACTAGCAGAAGAGAAGAGAGGCATGGAATAGATTCTCTCTCTCAGCCCTCAGAGGAACCAACCTTACCAATTTCTTGATCTCAGATGTCCAGCCTCCAGAACTGTGAGACAATAAATTTCTGTTGTTTAGTTTGTGGTACTTTGTTACGGCAGCCCTAGCAAACTAATAAAAGTATGTTTCTATGGTAAAATGGTACAGATAAGCGACTCATCTACAAATTTCCAATGGCCTGATGTCTTTTGTGCAATAGCAAGAATTGAGATTTACTAACCAAATCACCACAAGAAAAGGCAAATTATTAGGGAAAAAAAGGCTAAGTGAGCCCCAATTATTCAATTATTTCTTCATCATCTATTTATCAAATACCTGCTATGTGCCAGGCTCTGGGATATGGTGACAGACAAAGGCAGATGTGGTTCCTGCTGTCATGTGACTTGTGTGTATTGTTATGGGGAGAATTCACACTAAACAAATCAACAAATATATGAACAAGGTAATTTCAGAGCAGAATAAGTGCTTAAAAGAAAATAAAATAAGGCTAGAAGATTAAAAGAATGGGGTATGAGTTTAATTTAGGTTGGCTGGCCAGGGAAGGGCCCTAGGAGGTGATGACATTTGAGCCAAGACCTCAATGACAAAAAGCCATCCAGGCCAGGATCTGGCAAAAATTGTTCCAGGCAGAGATAACAATTCCTCTTGTAAGAAAATATCCTTGCCATTCATTATATAACACCCTTCCTTTCTCCCTTTGCCACCGATTTTGCATCTTTTGAGGTTGTGCAAAATCAATCAATGTCTGTTTCATAAAAATGGGGTCAAATTTATCTTCTTATGTAAGAACCTGTGAAAGTCGTGCCAACAGGGTTTTTGCGCACACACACTCACAAAACACCTCTTGACGTGCCTCCGTATTTGTAAGTAGTGAGGCCACGTGACTTGGACATTGTGTTTATTTTCCTCATTTGTATAACATCCAGAAACACTACTGGGTATGTCCTGGTGCTTAATCAATACGCTGATGGCTGACTGTGCCTGCGAAGGAACATTGCAACTCTCCTAGGACTATTTATAAAATCCTCTTTGTATCAAGTGAAGCTTCAGTTTTAAAATTTTTGCAATGTTCATGTACTTTGAATAGAATTTTTACTTAGGAGACCAATAAGAATAATAGTTAACATTAATTGGGAGCTTGTGTGTGGCTGACTATGCTAAGTGCTTCCCATGGATTATTATCCTCATAACCCTACAAGGTAAATTCTCTTATTTATAACATCCGTTTCACAGATCAGCAAAGTGGGGCTCAAAAGAGGTTAAATAATATGCCCACGATTGAACCCACTATTAAATGGCAGATTTATGCCTCGAGCCGGTCTCTTTAGCTGCGAGGCTTATGCTGGGGTGGGTGAGCAGAAAGCAAAAAGCATTTGTCTATTCCTTTGCATTTGTCTTTGAAATTTTCAAAGCACTGTTTTCTAACTTTTTTAAATTTACGCCAGCCCTCTAGCTTTCAAGTTCACTTTTCTAGCCAGCTATTTGCTCTGCTTTCCCTTGCTTCAAACTGGGAACTACAAGAACTTTGATAAATGAAACAACTGATATATTTTTTGTTTTCAGCCTATCTGTTTTTCAGCATCCTCTGAGGAAATGTGAGTGAAGCTTCTTAGAGCTCAGCCTACTTTGACATACATCTGTATCTCAGACATTGACAGCTCCCCAACACAAAGGGGGTCCCTGCCCTCACTCAAATCATAGAGAACATCATGCCCCCTGCCAGACCAAATGCTGTGCGCCATGCACCATGCCAGCTCTGGACCTCTTTACACAGATACTAATAGATCCTCCTGCCTGAGAGTGAACAACTAAAAAGGGCTTCAGCTGGTCGTTTAGAATCACTTTCTATTCTCATGGCTTCCCCACAGTCCTGGTCAGGGAGAAAGCCCAGGGAACTTGCAATGGTGAAAAGATGTGAGGTATCCCTCATTGGATCCCGGATTCCCCCGCCTCACTTAGGAAGTGGGCAGCCGTTTTAGCTGTTAAATGACTTCCTGCCTGGGATGGCTTGGTCAGGCTTGCTTTAAACTTCTGAAACTCAGACGAGGTGTCTGGCCACGCGCTTTGGAAGGCTCAGGTGGGTCTCACTATCCTTCCCTTTGCTGACCACAACTGCTTCAATAATTTATGCCCCTGGAAAAGAACAGCACTTCAGGGCAAATTAGCATAAGCAGGATTTATGAAACCACAGCGGGAGGGCATTTTTAGAGATCACACAAGATCTGTTGCATGGAACAATTCAAGCTAGTTCCAAGCAGGACCAGCCTCAGGAAGAATCATCAAAGAAATAATGTTCCTTTTGGTGCCCTTTCTTCTTCCCATTCCTTCCAGCCAACATCTCCCAATGTGGTCATTTTGCCCCCAGCTACACAGAAGACTGCGATTGTCATTCATTCATTCACTCTTTCATTGATTCTTTTATTAATTCATTTAAAAATTTTGTTTGTCGAAGAGGTATTTGTACATCCATGTTCATAGTAGCGTTACGCACAATAGCCAAAAGGTAGAAACAACCCAAGTGTCCATGAATGGATAAACAAAATATGGTCTAGACATACAATGTAATATTATCCAGCCTTTAAAAAGAAGGAAATTCTGACACACACTACAAGGATGAACCTTGAAGGCATTATGCTAAATGAAATAAGCCAGTCACAAAAAGACAAATACTGTATAATTCCTCTTATATGAGGTACCTAGAGCAGCCAAATTCATAGAGACAGAAACTAGAATGGTGGTTGCCAGAAGATGGCGGGGA